CAATCCTTCCTTTCCTCACCCTGAGGAAATGAAAGACTGAAATTACACGTACTGTTCAGAACAATAAGGAGTTGACCTGAAATGTACTGGTATTAGTACGTTCGGGGGTGGTCAACCTATGTACTGTTCTATATCGTCTGCTTATGCACAAGAGAGACTTGTGGTAAGGGGTTATATTGGTACAGGCCGTACTAGTACTGTATAGTGAAACGCCTTCACCATTTGAATGCCTCTACTGGAAAAAAAATTATGGAAAATATTAACGCCAATATTGGCCCGATGTTTTTCCGCGTAGTAATGCCAACAATGGTCCAAGATGGGTGCCAATGCATAGCCAAGATGTATACATCTTGGCGGATCTTGGCGATATGGCAACATTCATGGTCTACTGGAGTCTGCATGATGAATAGTTACTTTGTGACACGCCATGACGAGGACGACAACTTTTTCGTGCTACATCCTCAAAGATATCAGGGGATAACTGTGATGAGACTTCTATTCTTAGATTTAAACACTTCAGCCACTGCACCATACTCGATGGGAGTCCTTCCACATTGATGAAATAGAAGGAGTTCCTTCTACATCGACGAAACAAGTTGCAGCTTTGCAAGTCTTTCAGTATTTCTTATATCACACTGGACCTTAATCATTTCCTTAGGAATCAGTGCATTTGCTTCAATCAAGGAAGTGAAACGTTGCCGTTGCATTAAGTGTGATTGCACTTCATTTAAAACGGATTTACTCAAGTGCTATTCATTGCCGCGTCTCAGAAACTGTCAAAGAAAGTGCTGCCCTATTAGTATCTCATTTCGAAGGGACGAGAACCAAACAAGCAGCATTGTACAGTATATCAATACCTGGAACTTCACAGCGGTACCCAAGACGAATTACGTTCAATATCTCTATTGCTGAAGAACCTTGACCAGAACGACCTGCCACTGAATACAAAGACAGACGTATTTGAATCGGCCATGGCTTGGCTTCAGCATGCCAAGGAGAGAAGGAAGAGTCGAACGCCAGGAGCCGCGAGGAGAATTTACCTAGACCTGTTTCCACCGGATTTCTTTTTGAAGTTCATTTGAATGTCCATTCAGATGAACTGTTGGCTGTTGATATCGATGCCAAAACACACCCACTGGTTCAAAATCCATTAACGAATTACTTTCCTATGTACAGGGAGTATTCAGAAATTGAAGCAAGAGACAGACTAAACCCTAGGGAAAAATGCAATCCTTGTAAAGCCACTAGAGGAAAGGAGAAAATGCCTAGACAGCATGGTGTAGAAGAGAATGAACATGTGGAAGCCGATGTTATGCTACCTAGGGAATTAAAGATCTCCAAAACGTTTTGTGCTGTTCTGGGCACCTTTCTTGTCATCTTCGCAATTGTAGAATCTATACATTGGTTTTCTCTCTTTGTTCAAGATCGTAAAAATCAAGCAGACTTCATAAAAAGCGTCAACGACGAACGATTGCAGACGGAATGTTTACATATGGGCCCGGACAGAGAGAGTTTTGCGCGGTTGGTCCCAGTGGAAGCCAATAATTTCTCGGCCAAAACTTCATCTGCTACACGAAATTCATCAGAAGAGTTTGAAACGAAAGGATTGAGAATCCTTCCTATGGAGGAAGGTCATTGGGGTGAAGATGAGAACGTGAACGGACCTACAACTGGTGAAAGGGAAGCAGCGAGAGGCCATATGTCATCAAGAGATATGTCTCATCTCATAAATAGTGTGATCAGCTCACTGGAGGAATTAGTGAATGACGTGGAAAATGAAACATCTGATGCACCTAACATATCCGTTTCTCATGGAGCTGTTAAGGCCTAAGAGTACCAATGAATTGAAATATGTATTGTAGTAATAGTAGTATTAATGAACATTTCAAAATAATGTGATGATGACTGATGATAAAGGATTAGTGGAACTGAGACTTGGTGGTTCTTTTTACTAAAACTGTATTTCTAGAAGCGATCTCTTCTCCATCTTATGCATTGTATTCATTGAGTCTCTTCCATCTTCTTCACCCCAGAGCCAGGTGCCGAATCGTCAATGAGCAAGTCTCCTATCCATAGTCTGCATTAAGTCATGTTAATTTTCACAGAGGCATTCCATCCGGTTCTTGTTTTCCTGAGCCCTTCACAGAGGTCATATTCAAATAGCACGAAAACGTTCGATGTGTTCGGTCGTTCAAATTGTGCCCCATTGGTTTGAAACGTACAATATTCAAGGATGGGAAAATTTTCTGCTTTCATTGAAGGTTTTATTTCATGTTCCTCCTGGAACTTCAGAGCTTCAGTAAGAACAGGAGTGGAGTTCAATAGAATTTCATTGTGGGTCATGCCACTAACTAAATCCCTTAGTGAAAGCTCAAAAAACATCATTGGAACGTTTCAGTATGACTAGGACAGGGCAGTGGGAAACCCATCGGGCAATTATTGCAACTAAACGAGGTTCTCACAGCGGAAGCAAGATTACACCCAAAATAGTCGATGTCGCGGGTAACTTTCTGATGGTGCTTGAATGATTACCATTGACTTTCTATACCGTGCTTAACATCTTTATTTCAGCAAAAGGGGAACACGTTACAATAACTAAATACCTTCGTCTATGGAGGTAACCCAACCATCAACATCCATGAAATTCTGCCTCAGAGGAAGGAGGAAGGGTGATTCAAGTTGCTACCTGGCTTGCTGATAATGCCAGGATGACAATGGGTAGTGACGTCATTACATGCCCATGAAAAGGTGGTCCTAGACTCTTCGATTGAAGGAAGACCAGGTATGAGTAGAGGCATTACCCAATGGATCATGCCTGATGGATAACTCCGGAATTGGCGAAGAACTAGCTATCATCAAAAAAGGTCCTCTTGAGGGGAATGATGTTTAATAGACACAATTATATTGTGACACAAAAGTCACTTGAGAAATGAGAAATAAATAAAACAACTTTGTCTAAATCTTTGCTTGCGACCCCGACTTTTTTGCAACATGTGTGTTTACCGATGAATTTCTCTTCTTCTTCGATGATGATGCTCACACACAGAATGCGCGTTACTGGTCCCAGATTAACCCAGCTTGGATGCGCCAATCGAACAAATTTGGTGCCGAGAAGGTGTGGCGTGGTCGGCTTGGTGACATGGTTGTGGGATCACACTTCTTCGAAAGACATGAAAGACACATTTGGGCAAGCGTTGGACACAATTGTAGCTAATTTTCTTCATGATTTGCCACCGAATACACTGCGTAAAGTGTGGTTCCAACTGGACGGTGCCACTCCCCACTTTGCTCTCACGATCCGTCATAACCTGTTTGGTAATCAGTGGATTGGACGGGGTGGACCTGTGTCATGGCCCCCTCAATCAACTGACCTCATTCCCCCGGATTTCTTCTTCTGGGGCTGTTAAACAGCATGTGTTTATGACAGAACCTGTATCCCTCAAAGACCTTAAAAACCGAATCACTCATGTTTTTCAGCAAATCACACATGCCAACGACATTAACCGCCGTCAGAAATGAACTAAAGAATCGTTTGGAGCACTGCAGTGTGGTTCACGGAGATCACTTTTGAGCATCTGCGCTAGTTCAAAAATTAAGATTTTAGGCAAAGTGGTTTTATTCTCATTTGTCAAGTGACTTTTGTGCCACACTGTAGAATACCAGGGAAAGACTGCTTTCCTAACCAATCCGAGAGAGACTGAAAAACACAAAAGTTTTAGCAAGGAGGAGTTAACAACGTGCTGAGTGAACCAGTAGAACGGACTTTCTTGCAACCTTTTTGTGCTATTAGGGAACGTTTATTTCACGCTCTTGAGAAATATCTCAAAAGCGAAAAGTTTCAGCGTTCTTGTTCAAAAAGAATTTAGGATACACAAGCAGTTAAAACACGGTTTCAAGGATGTTGATTGCACAGCGGTCAAACCTTAAATAGGACGCTCGTTCTGCATTCCTAATATTTTCCAGTGTTACTTGGACATGATGAGAAATGTGTTCTTCGTGAATGCAGTCCGCCAAAAAGTCGTTACAACTTAGCAAATCTCTTTGATATCAACTTGCAATTGCAATGTTGTAAAAAGAAAGTCCATTGTGCTATCACGATTCCCCATGTTAAAGATGCATACAAAAAATATGAATCTTGTAAAATGTTTTCGAATCTATAGCTTCTTTATAATGAGAACCCAAAAAGATTCATTTATGGAATCGAACACAGCTTTGTTTTAGCGTTCATTTGAGTCCAAAAACCCTTTTCTAGCCAAATTACGGCCAAATATAGCTTTTTGACCTAATAGGGTCACTCTTCCTCATATCGGTTCTAACTTTGAGGTTCATCATCATCACAACCGTTTGTGCTAGAGCGCTAAAACTGGGGATTTTTTGTAAATCAGGGAGGTCATGATGCATGAACTTTGAATCAAATCATTGTCGATCACACCCGATATTTCGGGCACTTTACTGTAATGCCTCACAGATGGTAGGGAGCTGCTGATTCAAAATGTATTGACGGAATATAAATAACTTGCCGACTCGTAGCAGACTTTTACGAACTTCAGTTCGGGCTTGGCCTGATGTATTAAACTGCTGGCCCGCGGGCCTGATCCAGCCCTAATATAAATTGACGCACGTGGTATTTGGGCTTTCACAGGCCAAAACTGCCTGATTGGACGTGGATTTTGCGGGTAATGGGGAAACGGCTGAAAGATTGGGAGACCCCTTGGTCTTTCTTCGAGATGGAAATGTTTTACGACCTCGTGCACTTTCTTCTCCCTTTCGTTTTTCTTCTGGTGGATATCCGAAAATGTATTTTCTTTAAGGAGAGAACTATTGGCTCAAGCACGATGTTCGTAAGGATTTGTTTTGACACGTATGGAACATAATGGCAGTATTTTTCATTGAATGAAAATCATGCAATAATAATATAAGATATATATATATGCCCCATTACTAATATCACAATGGTGAATCCCACTTCAAACCCAATATTTGTATACCTCGGGTTTGACCTAAAATATATGTTTTGACGTTTGTAGAGACACAGCTTTCGCCTTCTTCTCCGCATCAATGTTGGCCTCCTCCGCCTCATTCCAGCATAGCTTTGCCTTTCTTATCCCAGATTCAAGCCCGTAAAGCAAGTCCTCCCCCCCATTCTCCACTTCTGCCTTCTCAAGGATATATTCATATGCCACTCTGGCTGCTTCCCATTTGACCGCAACCGCTCTCCAGGCCGCTGCCACACTCTCATATGACAATGCCCGCTGCAGATCCACGTCGGCTTTACCATTCTCCACCTCCTTCCTCCAATACCCAGCAGCCCCCGCCTCTCGTGCTGCCTCTTTTTCTGCTTCCCTCCTGTTGTTCCATGCAGCCGCTTCGCGTTCTGTCATACTCGGCAGCAATTGCGCTATTTCCTCCACTGAGTCAAGGGCATTAGCGACATTCAACACCCAATCTGAATTTCCTTCAGGTGCAGTATCAAAGTTTCCCTTCTCTTCTGCTGATTCGCTTGTTTCTGTAGTTGGTCCATTCTCTTGCGTATGCAATTGTGAAATCACACCATCCCAGTCCATGGGAAAGGGATCTATGGCATTTTTCTTTCCTGGTTTGAGAATCACTTTCTGTTGTTGGCTTTCCTTTATATCACAATTTACCTTTGTTGGGTTCCACATGTAGGACCAAACCATAGGTGAACCAACGAGAAGAATCACGATAAATAACCCCAAGAAAATGAGGCAGACAAACCCGAAGCTGGTCAAATACATATTTCGCTTTGAGTTGGCAGAATAAGCTACGGTTGGTTTATTGACATTATGAGGATGTGTCCCGGTTTGGTCGGTCTCTATCGATGGTCCTTTGTCAAGTAGCAGAGGCTTCGATTCGGCTGAAATAGATGTGCAATATATATCCTAAGCAGCATGTTTATGTTAATTTTACGTAAACTGAATGTAAATTTTTTGTCCATTTTATATCATTTTTACGCAAACCATTGTCAAGATAATGCCAACATGTTTGCAATAGGAACGTAAATTTTACGTAAACGTGATGTCATTTTCATGGCAATCGCAATAAATTTACATTGTTTGCAAGGAATTGATATCTTGTTTACGTAAACATGTTGCTTGGGATGGAGAAAAGAATCAGAAGTCATTAGATTCGCGACAATCGCGTATGTCAAAACTATCCAATCGTGGAACAGCATGCTTTTTATTTTAAAAGTAAAAAAAAAACTTTTAATTGCATTTTTTATTAAATTAAATTTTTTCTTGTCTTGATTTTGTCTTGATTTGTCTCTTTTATCATATCTGTTTCTTTTTCAACTGGTGATTTAAATAGGAGTGATATCGATAAGCTGGTTGCTGTTGCTTGGTTACCTTAACGCTACACTCCATGGTGTGCCAGATATGCCACGCTCTGCTTAGCATTGAAACGCATAGCAATACAATGAAAAACCAATATACTCCAATGTCTTTTTTTTATACTTTATTTTCTCATCAATAGTATGAAAAAATATTATCTTCAAAGATGTTTTTGGTGCATGCAAAAGCGTGCATTGCATGCTTAAACTTAATCTAAGCAAGATGCATACGTTCGTTATACAGGCAAAAAACTGGGATTACCAATCTTTGTGTGAAACAATTACTTCGATACTTTCAACATTCAATTCTTTATTTTCCTGCTTTAAAAAAAAAAAACCTCTGAATCCGCATTTCACAGACAAGACGCACTTGCTAAGGATTTACTATTCCAGGAAAAGTGTCGCGCAAAACCGCCCTCAAATCCCGTTGCAATCACCTTGCTCTTTGAAAGTCTAAACTCTTGATTAAACTATTTTCATATTTTCAAGTGCAATGGCAAAAATCAACTGACTGTATGAGTTACAGTCCACATCAGAATAATGATGTAAAAAAAAAGTATTTTCTCAGGTATGGAACAATATTAAAGCCTATGTCCACCACATGCTCCTGTGAAATATAGAACTAACAAATAAATGGAAACGCTAGCACGATCCAGAAAATGGTACGAAAACTACATAGTAGAACTCCAAATACTACTTTTTACTTTTTTACTCAGATTCATTTGTATGTGTCTAGTCCTTAGGAAGAAATTGTCGGCGAAAGTCGTGAATTCATCATGAGATAAATGGAGTTCGTTCCTGCTATTTTTAAAGAATCTGGGAAGATGCTTCGATGCGGACGAAGCGCGAATCAAAGCAATATTGATTCTGGACTCGCTGAGACGATCTACTCACCTGCTTCAGAGGCGGAAGGTGCAGGATTCTCTCGCAGAGAAGGTTCGACAGGTGTCATTAGGTGCGATTGACCGATCTCCTCCAGGGCGTCCTTAAATTTCTGGATTCCCGAAGGACCTTGCCCCCGAACAATTTTGAGAATGGCTTCCCTTTCTTCTTGCTTCGTGGATAATTTTTCTTCCGTATCTCTCCAGTTTGGAGCGAGAACATCCTTTGAAACGAGTATGGGTGCTATCTTAGGAACATCCAACCTGTCTGCCAATGCAGCCCAAAAGGGTTTGAGTTCATCATTTCCGGATGACCTCCCGGATTCCCTAAAACAAGATTAAAAGCAAGGAATTCCTGGAATATCGATTGTTACAAGTTTCGCGGGCATATGAAAGGGTTTCAGGTACGCCCAACACGAACAAACTTTATACAGAAGTGGCTTCTGTATTATCTCCTTCGAAATAGGTTTCTTCACTTGGAACACACTTCTGACGTTTGGGAAGAAATTTTAGCACTGGTTAAAACCCTTTCTTGGCAACGTCCTTCAACGCGTTGGTCGCTACTAACAGGAGAGCACCTACGTCGTTGAAGCGGCGGTCTTTCAGATGGAACTTCATTCTGGGAAACACATGAAGTCAGAACACTAACGAAAAAATCCTACAGGATCCTCTACGATTTTTAAAATATTGTTACGGTTCCGTGCGTTCTCCTCTACTGGTAGTGGGAATTACAACACTGTAGGTCAGGGCTGATACAAACCAGGGTTTACTTTTAAAAAAACAAGGTACAGCGGCCAAGATCGCACCAAGGGGATAAAAGGGATAAAACCACGTCGTCATTGAGCGGTTAAGCTAGTACACAAGCAATAGTCCTCGGCCAATCAATCTATGATCCCGGAAGAAGACGATCGGGATATCTACACCATGAGACGAAAAGGATCAAGGGATCGGGAATGTTTAATCCTGAGGGATGAGAAGATTTAGGACGGCAGGAATGTCTAATCCCGCAGGGTGAAAGGGTAGATGCTTATCGCCCGTGGACGATAAGTGTAAAAAATAGATAAATAAGCTGTAATCAGCTCTCTTCTTCTCGATAGAAAGAAAAGGGGGAGAACCTCACTCCTCAGGCGCGTGAGATCTTGCGGTACAGGCCATCCTTTCTTGACGCTTGGACGCCGAATTACTGCATTAAAATATAAGCATAACTCTGCCTCTAGTCTGTGAGTGCCAGACGGAAATGAAAAGAGAGGTGGCTGAGAACAAAAGACGTATAGAGGGTTACTAAGAGAGATCTCTCGATTGGGGTCAAGGGTCAGAGGTCAGGCATGACACGTAGGGGATCATGCATATACTGCGGTCTCCCTGGGCGACTCATAGAGAGCTCTTCCCTCGCATACCGGCAGTCCTGCCAGGCCACTCACCGGGTGTCGTGCCGGCTGGGCCGTTACAATATAAAAGTCTTATAGGATTCCCATAGGATTCCTATAAGATATTATAGGACTCCTATGATATTTTATGTATAAAAAAATCTTATAGGATCCTATAGGATTTTTTCGTATGGGAAGGCGCGAAATGCGGCGAGCACGAAGCAGTGCACGGTCATCGAAATCCTTAATGAGGAAACAGTGCAATCTCTTTCTGAACATGTTTGCGGTGACTACGGGCAACTTGAAATGCCGCCACTTCAATGATGCTGGTACTCCCCAGTCTGCAGTGAAGTACACTGTAAAAAGCTTTTCCCGCCTGGAACTCCTGAAAACATGTAATGGAACACCTGGAGGCGTTTTTTTTCATGTTAGTGTTCCCGATTCCCGGTATGTGCTCTCCAATGCGTTCACGTGTGCAAGGATGAGCCCCATGAATGTGATCTCATCTGAAGGACAAGTTTAGGAATACTTGGGGTCGGAATGCAGGACGCCTGGGAACACAATAATGCAAATGGGAACACAGCTCAGATCGGGAGATCTATTATGAATTTAATCGAGACTTTCTACGAGGTTCATTCGTTCCCTAATTTTCACTGAAATCACACAACTTAAAAATTTTCTTTATATATTGGGAATGGAGAGAATTTTAATTCATTTTTATTGGGTTGTTCGGAAAGTTCTGTCCGAAAATTTTGACATACTGTATTGTTTCCAATTATTTTTCTTGCTTGGTCATATTTTTTCCTTATGTGCGTGTGCTATCGTATTTTATCAATATGCTTTTGTTTTGCTCCTCCTATCGACTTCTTTTTTTAGGTTATAATGATGTCAAACCGTGAGTACCTCCTGCACTGTTTGCTTTATGAGCACGATCTAGGAAGCTCTGCAGTAAAGGCTCATCGCCGCATATGCCAAGCTATGGGCCAGGACGTCGTCAGCGAACATACGTGTCGCAGATGGTTCGCCAGGTTTCGCGCGGGCGACAGGACCCTCCAAAATGAGCCGAGGTCTGGGCGGCCCTCCGAGGTCGATGACGATGAGTTGCGCAGACTGATCGAGGCTGATCCCAGAATGACCACCCGTTCCTTGGCGGCCAGACTTGGATGTGCCAATAGCACCGTGTAACCTCCGAGGTCGATGACGATGAGTTGCGCAGACTGATCGAGGCTGATCCCAGAATGACCATCCGTTCCTTGGCGGCCAGACTTGGATGTGCCAATAGCACCGTGTATAGCCACCTCCTAGCCCTGGGTGCTTAAGCTGGGGTGTTGGGTACCCCATGCACTGTCACAAGCTGACTGTGACCGTCGTTCGGACATCTGCACGTCTTTGCTGTCGCGCTCGCGCAACTTCGAGTGGTTGTGCTACGTCATCACTGGCGTCGAAAAGTGGTGCCTGTACATTAACCGTACGCGCCATGGACAACTGGTGAGCACGCACCAGCAGACGGAGCCAGAGTCGAAACCTGATCAGCACGCGAAGAAGCTCATGTTGGCGGTTTGGTGGGACGCCAAAGGCGTCATCCTCTGGGAGGTGCTGCCCCACAACCAGACTGTGACTGCGCAGTACTACTGCAACCAACTGCAGCGTCTCGACGAGCAACTCGCTCTGGTTCGCCCGGCCGTGTTCTCTTCCTCCACGATAACGCGCGGCCGCATACCGCGAAGTGCATACGGGACAAGCTTCTCCAGCTGGGCTATGAGGTTCTGCCCCACCCAGCTTACAGTCCGGACATAGCGCCATCAGACTACTGGCTCTTCCGCGCCCTCGATCGGCACCTACGCGAGAGGAGCTTCGCCGATGAGAACGCACTCAAGATGGAGATCGGCCACTTCTTCGACTCCCTGCCTGAGACATTCTACAAGGACGACATCAACGCCCTGCCGGATCGCTGGCGGAGGGTTGTGGATGCCGATGGTGACTACTTAGTAGAATGAGGTGTGGTTGTTAATGAATAAACTTTGTGGAAAGAAAAGTGTGAAAAACGGACAGAACTTTCCGAACAACCCAATAGTAGTTGTTCGTCCACTATACTTGGGCCTATGGCAACAGTGGCAGGCAGTACATCATGGCGCTACATGAGCAATGCTTGATTTTCTTATTGTGCTCCAACCCAAGGTATACAGATGCGAAGCATCAGGTAATGACGACAGCTCAAATAGGTGCCATGTTTAGTCCAAGCACGGCCTGCCTTCCCATTCTCTCCCTCTTTACCGCCACGAATGTAAACATTTTTGCTTGTTGCAAAGAGAGGAAAACTCGAAAAATAGGCCTATCTCCTTTCCCAATCAGGACCGGGTATTTTATACGTAGGGCATACCAGAAAATGAATTATGGGAGTGGCAGATCTGTACCTAGCCTAGTTCTGTAGGAGGCAGTTCCATCTAATCTAATACTTTAATTCGAAGAGGCCAAAAGTTGCGGTGGTGGTGCTCGTGGCCGTGGCTGTGACCCCCAACGCGCAGGCCTACGATGCAATCCCATTCTGGATCATAGGCCAGGTCCATCCACAGCCTAAAGCGCCAGGCCTACAAGGCTACGCCTTTCCAAGCCATCTTATACTTTAATACTAAGAGTCCGAGAGTTGTCGTGGTGGTGGTTGTCACCCCAGCGAGCGAGGCCTACAACACTGTCACTTCAGGCCATGGGCTAGGCCAGGCTAAGCCATTCTAGGCTTGGACATCCAACGTTTTTAGCGCCAGGTCCATCGAGCTATATCAGTCTGAGCCATAGGCTTCATACTTAGCAGTGTCAATCAAAGGGTGGTAATAACTGAATGAGTGTCATTATTTTCAATGCTCGACTGCGAGTTCGTCGTATGATTACATTCTTTGCTGAGATGTTCTTTTCTGTATTTGTTTTCCGTGAAATCAGGCGTGGCGGTTCGGGATATCGCTTCCATGCAATAGTTTTCTGTTTGCGTTTTATGTCATGGTCGTTTCATTTGAGTTATGATTGATGAAATCAAAATAATTAAGTTGTTTCATACGTCGCGCAAACGGGCCGCTCCTCCCATCAAAATTGTGGCGATTTTTGCGAGGTGAGGGTGAACGTGAAAAAAAGTGAAAGAGGTCCCACAGTACGGCGATGAGGCAGTCGCTGCAGATAACAAACGATTGGTGCTGGCGCGGAAACAACGTTTGCCACTGCAGTTGCTGTGCGAAGTGACTAAATCGATGCTTTAGGAGGTGTTAGCGATGATGACTGATGAACAGTACCCACTTGCACGTAGGGAGCGTAAGGCTGGATTCTGGATCAGAGGCCACGCCATCCACGGCCTAAAGCGCCAGGCCTACAAGGTTACGCCTTTCCCGTTCATCGAATACTTTATTTCGAAGAGCCAGAGAGTTGTGGTAGTGGTGGTTGTCACCCCAGCGCGCGAGGCCTACAAGACTTTGTCACTTCAGGCTAAAGGCTAGGCCATCCACCTCACAAAGCGCCACGTCCTTCAGGCAATGTTATTCTGAGGCCATAAGCTTCGCCATCCAACGCTTTTAGCGCCAGGTCCATCGAGCTATATCAGTCTGAGCCATAGGCTTCATACTTACCTGTGTCAAGCAAAGGGTGCTACGAACTGAATGCGTGTCACGTTTTCACTGATCGGCAGCAAGTTCTTCGTTTGAATACATTTTTTGCTGAAGTATACTTTCCGTATTTTTTTCCCGTTAGGTTAAACGTGGCGGTTCGCGCCATCGCTTACATACAATAGTTTTCTATTTGCGTTTCATGGCCAATTTATTTGAGTTCTCATGATTGACGAAGTCAAAATAATAGTCTAAAAAGGCATATGTCGCGCAAACGAGGTGCACCTCCAATCAATATGGTGGCGATTTTTGCGAGGTGAGGTTGAACACAAAGAAGAAATGTTGGAGGAGTTCCCACAGGATGGCGATGAGGCAGTCGTTGCTGGTAAAAAACGATTGGTGCTGGCGCGGAAAAAACGTTTGCCACGGCAATTGCGGTGCGAAGTGCCTAAATCGGTGCTAGCCCTGATGACTAGAATCGGTGATAAACACCAAGCACATGTAAGTAGGGAGCTTCGGGCCGCTCAGACCGCTGACATTGGAGAAGAACAACAAGACGTCGTTTGGATTTTTCGTCCGTGGAAGAAGATTTGTACCTCTCGGACAGCCCCTGAAGTTCACACAAACCTGTAGTCATCCGTAGTCTCTGAATAAACCTGGCCCATATATCCACCAGACTGCAATCATGTTCCATTACCCACCTGCCAATTCTTTTTCCGAGAATAATATAAGTACGGCAATCATCCGTCTACGGGAGATTTCCCGATTTAACTTACAGAAACGCAACAGTATTACAGAACACCTTAAAGAGCATCATCTGGAACACCTGATGTGTTCCAAAAGTGTTGCGTTAAACGCGTTCTAGATGATGTTTTTCAGGTGTTCCGAA